TTACCAAGTTCAGCTGTGAACAACAGGTATAGTCTTGTACAGTCTTGGTTTCCTCTAGACAAGAGATTTTGTGTGCTGACCCTGAGAAACTCTTCTCACAGATTTTGTATCAATTATGTTAGTCTCTTTGGAATCACCACTAAGTTTTCGACTCTAGTTCACCAGCAAAACAGTAAAGCAAACATTTTACTTCAGTGGTGCCAGCCTGTTGTTATTCACAGCCATTTCTTCATCCACATCTTACAGGACAACCCAGATTATTAACATAAAATATCATGGGAACGACCCTGGCAGTTTTTTGCTTTCCTCCCAAACTCCACAAGCCTGTCCTCTATCATCTGCAAGGCTCTCATTGTTCTAATCTTCCAGCTTCTGAACAAAAAACAAACCAAAAAGCAAAACAAAAAAGCATCAAGCTCTGAGCACTCAATAGCTTTTCCTGCCCCAAGTCTAAATGCAACCAATCCTTCCAAAGATACAAGGCCATCATGTCTATCACATCAATATCTACAAACCTGGCAGCAAATTTCGTCTTAGTTAGGGTTTCTTCTGCTATGATAAAATACCATGGCTGAAAAACTTGAGTATGGGCAAGAATTAATTTTACCTCAGAGCTACTTTAAAGTCTATCACTGAAGGTATCCAGGGCAGAAACCCAGGGAAGGAACCTTGTAGCATGAGTTCTAATTGGTCTTAATAATAAAAACCTGGAGTCAGATATTAGTGGGTGAAAGCTGAAAAATCAGAGGAGCAGAACAGTCAGCCACTAGAATTCTTACCTCTGCAAAATCCTCAGACTGAAAAGAGACCAAACTCCTGTCTCCTCCCACCTTATATTCCCCTCTCTACCCAGTCATATCACTTCCTGTCTATCTGTACAGACCTCCAGACTTCTATGGTTAACTAGTGGCTAGCTCTGTCCTCTGATTTTCAGGGAAGCTTTATTTGTTAGAGCACAAATAAGATATCACTACAGAACCTGGAAGCAGAAACTGGAGCAGAAGCCATGGAAGAGTGCCACTTACTGGCTTAAGTTCCATGACTTGCTGGGCCTGCTTTCTTCTACAACCCAAGATCACTTGCCCAGAGCTGGCACTGCTTGTGGTGGGCTGGGCTGGACCCACCCACATCAATCCTTCATCAAGAAAATGTCCCCACAGCATTGTATACAGGCCAATGTGAATGAAGGCATTTGCTCAGTTTAGGTTGTCTCTTCCCTGATGATCCTAGCTAACTTGCATCAGGGTGACAAAAAGCTCACCAGTGCACACAGCAACAGAAAGTAACTCATGCGTGGTGGTTTCCTACACTAGGGTCAGACTTTGCATCAGTGAGTCACTTTGTGCAGCGTGTGTGGTCTAGGACTCAGAGTGTGTATTATCTTCCCTCCTGACATCTCAAGAAGCCTGAGATGAAAACTACAGGCAGTTTAAGGAAGAAAGGAGGAAGTTGGGGAGAAGGTGGTAAAGATGACAGAAGGAAATAAAAAGAGAAAAGAAAACAGCAAGGGATAGAAGGAAATAGAATGTTTCTATAGTATGATCTTTATGATCTTGTGAGCCATCTGAATCCCGATGTGCCACACTGTGAGAACGGAAATGTGTCCTCCTTCAACATCCCATTGATAAAAACATCCCATTGATAAAAACCACATCGACAAGCAGAAACCACTACATGACCAGTGTTCTGTAATCCGATAAGCACAGGTACCAGCCAATATCTTGTCTGTTTCCTTGGATCATGTGTATTATATTTCAGCTGTGTGGTTCATCTAACATTGTTTTTCTCCCCAACTTATACATATATCCTCAATTCATTTTTGTAAATTGGCAAGGGCCAATGCTTTACTTCAGTTACAAGCTATTTGCACATCTTTGAGGAAACTGGGAAAAGGAAACTGTTGAGTCATCTCCTAGGGTCTTCATCTACTAGAGAAAACAAACTCAAAGGGGCATCTTGATCTAGGAGAAACAGAGAATTTTGTCCATTGCTCATAGCAAGGAAAAGAACTTGATCAAAACTTTATGTTATTTGTGCTCTTGGACCTTGGTTTTTAAAATTCTGTCCCTGTTAACCAGTTAAACACTTACAAAAACAAATAGCGTTATTTGTGCTCTTGGACCTTGGTTTTTAAAATTCTGTCCCTGTTAACCGGTTAAACACTTACAAAAACAAATAGCAAAAAAAAAAAAAAAAAATGTTTAGAATGTTTTAGTATTCTAATTTAAAATAAGCTAGGTTTTGAGAGGAAATGAAATTCCAAAGATCTTGCCTGAACACAGCAACAACCTTGCAACAACCTCAGGGGGATCTCAATACAAGTCCTGGCTGAGCCCCCTCGGCCAAGGATACAGAAGATCTAAGATTCTAAAGTAAGCCCCGTATTACCAGTGAGTCAGTCTGACTTGTGTCGGAGTTAGTGAGCACAAAAGCAAAGCCTGTGACCAGTAACAGAAACTGTAGTACAGAAGGGGACAGGGAACACTTAAAACAGGAAGAAAGGCAGGGTCATTCCCTTTTAGAGGAGTGACAAGTGGCTGTCTAGAAGACTTCATTAGTTTATCCAAAGATAACATGAACATTACATGTTTATCTTTCCATTACTTACCTGTCTTCCCACCAGAATCCTCATGCTGATATTATCCCAGCCAGTCACATAGCACGTTATGCTTTGGACTCAAAACAGAATTCTAGCAATAACCTTTTGTAATAAATAACTTTGTGTTCAGGAATTCTAGTGGGCAAGAGAAAGGAAGGGGGAAAGGAAGATGACATTGTTTTGAGATGTGATGGCTGATTTTTTTCCCTTCCCTTCTTATTCTTAGTTTCCATTCCATTTCCTACTTCCTTTCTCCCCTTCTCTCCTGTCTCCCCCACCCCTCTCTTCTTCACTCTTTTGTTCCTTTCAATTCAAGGAGAAGAGTATGAAAATGAAATTGGGAGAACTTCAACATCAGAGAAGTTCCATTCCAATCAGAATTAGGTAGTAGCCCACACCAGATCCCGTCTGTTCTGCAGGAGCCCACATTTTCTCCTTCAAAGCCTTTCTATTTATTCCCGGTTCCATGCAGGACATTTCCCCACAGCCAGCTTTTTTGCTTTATTACTGTGGCCACTCTGAGAGATCGTGGCCTGGGGAGACATTTTTATCCATTCTGCAAAGGAATCATTCTAGGCTTACCTTTCAGAATTTCAGGGTGGGTCCCACAAAGATATATGAGGGGTTTAAAACAGTCATTATTTGCCAAATGTTTGGAAACATTCTTCTCTGAAATAAGTTCATCGCATTAAGCAAGAAGATCAACACCATTACTATCATTATTATCTCAATTAAGGGGCAGCCAGCTAAGAAAAACAAATTGAAAAATATCTTTAAACACAAAGGAATGTTCTTAAGTATGATCAATTTTAAAAAAAGATAAAATTGCCCTGTTTAGCAAGTTTGGTTTATTATACATGTCAAATTTCCATTGCTTAAAAAAAGTGGAAGTTCATATAAAGTATGAAAGACCCTGGCTTTATTAACACAAACATATTTTTATTAAAGAGTGAATGCATTTATCTAAAGAATAGTTTACATATGTCATAAAGCAACAAGCATATCTTCAGGAGGTGAGTCCTCAGCAATACGACTCCATGCTTATTGTACATGCCTTGAAACTGGACCCACACAGGGGACATACACACACACAAAAACACATACATGGACACACAGGTACACAGACCAAAAATACCAACACCATTGCTGTCTGGATTATATTAGCTTTCACTTAAGGCTTCTAAGGTGCCCCGTTGCCCCTAACATCACCAGAAATAAAACACACCTTTTAAAGGAGCAACATCACTTGAAAAATGGATTGTGTGCCCTCTTAATGTGTCTATTCACCTTAAATGTGTATATTTTAACAAACACTTTCCATGATTCTTTATGATAGGCAAAGATCTTGAAATTGAGAGATCTCAAGCTATCAGTGAAAATTTCTCTTCAGAATTGATAATCAAAAGTCATTCTGACTCTAAGACATTATTGACTTCAGGACAACAGGATCACATTTCCCTTTAGGTTTCCAGATAGACATGGGATTTCTAGGCAACCTGACTGGATTTCACTCATTCCCTACTTGAGTTCAATGTTGAATTCAATGTTCAAAATGATGGAACAAGACTTCCCAGGCAATGTCATGTCAGAGTTTAAACTTCCCACGAAGGAGTCATCCAGCAGGAGCTGAACCAAGTAAGTTACAGTAAGTTACTGTAAATCAGGACTTAATAAAGGGCAACCTCTACAGACTTTAGCCACCCTATTCCCCTTTTTTTTCTAGGGTTTCTGATGTCTGAGACTCCTGGTAGGTTTGATGACTGTTTATTTAGTTAATTTGTTATTTTCTTTCCCGTTGGAGTCCTGCAGTGTGTTGAGCCTCCACCCCTTTTGGGAAGGAGAAAGAACATGGTAGGGGCAGGAGGAGGGAAATGCTCATTAGTTGCAAGGATTCTAAGAAAATAGACAAAGTGAATACAATAGGAGGGCACTACTTGATATACTCGTGTAAATAAAAGCATTATCTTTAACTGCGAATTAACTGCCATCTAGCGTGCTGTTAGTTGTAAAGCTCAATCCAAGCTGTGCTGATTCACGTACTGAGGAGAGTGTATGCAAACATGCCAGGGAAGAGGAGCAGTCAGTTGTCATTCACCTGGACGTGTCCCTTCCATCCTGCAGCCTCCACACCAGCATCATGTCCCCACACCACCCACCCGCCTAGGGACCACAGAGATGCCTCTAACATTCTTGTTGGATTTCATAAGGCAGTTTGGAACAGTTCATCAGACTACAGCCACACAGTATTTGCCTGAGAATGGTGAAAAATAGGCATGGAGATCTCCCACCAGGAAGCCTTGGAATAGGAGAAAAACACCGAGAAGGCAGTCTGGAACCTTCCTCCCTGTCCACACCCCACTCTCCTCATGGTCACAGCAGCAGCAGATTTCAATGTCACATAATTAATGATACATTTCTTTAGATTTAGAATTGCTCTTCTGAATTTAAAAAGCATGGTCAGCCAGCCAATGGTTTTGGCAGTCTTTTCATTACCAAATTTGAATCGTTGCAGACGCATCTATCTTCTGAAACTCCTTGCCCAAATGCTGCCTTCGCTGGAACATCTTAAGTTCCTTCAGCCATCGTCAGATTCTAATTCCTGGGAAGCCTCTTCGGATGAGCTGCTCCTGTGAATCCGCCCATCACTCTTCATACTGTGAAAAGTCTTCTTGAAGGCCTCCATCATAGCATGTGCCAGCTTCTTGGCCTCCAGCTTGCTCTCGCATTGCACTGCATGGCAGTCCATCTGGTAAGACAGGTCATCGTTGATCTCTCTGTAGACCCAGGCGAAGATGTTGGGGCTCACGTTGTGGTCAGCTGTGCAGTAGGCAATGCGAGCCACCTGGAAGGTATCCATGTGCACTGTCGCCTCGCCCTTGTGGTCAAGGTGGTGAAGCCACACTTGGAATGGACGGATCTCTAGGAGGGCATTGGCTGGAAAAACGTCTTCTCGGGCCAGTGTGTGTTTCTTCCAGAGTTCGATGACCGGCTTCTCCGTGCAACCAGACAAAAACTGCATGCCTGTGGTAGAGACTTTGCCCAGATAGGTGACCTGCAGATGGGAGACAGGAAGCAAAGTGGGAGGTCAGCTGGGTGCACTGAGCTCAGTCTTCTAGGCTGAGAGACTAGACACAGACCTGAAGCTCACTTGACCCCATGGAAGCAGAGTTTCTTCCTTTCCTTCCTAGCAAGTTTCCTCCAGGGCAAATGCATTGAAACTCTTTAAACAGAGTTGGATTTGTTTTTTTAAATCTAATACCCAAAGAACTCCTTCCCTCTTCCAAACCCCTTTTAAATTAAAAATGACCAATGATGATGATCTTTTATTTAATTTGGCATTTCTGTGAAAGCATGGGTCACTAAAAGTTTACTTTCAATCAGTTGGAATGCAAGAGCTCAAAGACAGCAGGAAATCAGGAGGTCAGTGCATCTGCAAAACAAAGCCTTTATGAAGCTTATCTCTTAGCTGGATCCTTTGCCCAAATCCTTCCCTTTTTGATTTCCTTTATGCTGCTTGCTTCCAGCAAATACCAAAGACACAAAAAAGGTGTTCCATCCAAATTACAGCCAGAAGCATGATTTCCCCCTTCCACTGAGAAAATTTAAAAAGGCAACAATGCTGATAACACTGTGGGGGGGGGGGCTATTTTTCAACCTACACAATTTGTGGAATGATGGGCCTCTGATTGTGCGACTGTAGCTGAGAGATTAGGGAAGACTAGAATGTAAGATTATCAAATAGCTAGATAGGCACTATTAAAAGGAGGGGAAATAATTCCAAAGGATTTCAATACTGTCTTTTACAAAAAGCTTGGGGGAAGGCAAAAGGATTCAGTTGGTAAAGGCACTTGTGGCCAAGTCTGCAGACCTGAGTTTAATCCCTGAACCTACATGATGGAAGAGAGAATTGACCTCCACTAGTTGTCCTTTGCCCACATGTGCCATTGTTCATAATTTACCAAGAGGTATATGCTATTGTTTTTCTGATCAGAATGTGTAGAACTGTTGCCACTGTAATGTAGACATTAACGAACTAAATGAAACCTAAGTGATCTGCTATGGAACGTTAGTTAAAGATGTGTTACATTTGTTTATGTTGTGGAATGTTTGTTAAATTATGTAAAGGTGTGTTGCATTCTTGTATATTGCATTTTTCTTAAACTCTTTGAAGCTGTATTACTTTGCCTGTCTAAAACACCTGATGAGTCTAATAAGGAGCTGAATGGCCAATAGCTGGTCATGAGAGAAAAACAGGTTGGATAGGCAGACAGAGAGAATAAACAGAGAAAAGAGGGAGAGGAATGAGAAAAAGGAGAAGGAGAAGAGGACACCAAGGGCCAGCCACGTAGCCACACAGCCAGTCTGAGAGTAAGAAGGAAAGAAAGCCATATAGAATAGAGAGAGGCAAAAGCCCAGAGGTAAGAGGTAGACAGGAAAATTTAAGAAAATCTGGCTGGAAATAAGCCAAGCTAAGGTTGGATATTCATAAGTAAGAATAAGTCTCCGAATATTTGTTTGGGAACTGTGTGGTGGGCCCCAGAAGGAAAAAAAAAAAAAACTACAGCGTTCAATTAACAAACAATGCAAAGTTTTGTAGAATTGGGTTTAAATTTAGATATGGAGCTCTAAATACCATGAATGTGAGAAAGGGGATCCTAGAAAAAGGTTCATGGAAAGGGGGTAGAACCGACAGCTGACATTTGGGCACGATGACTCCAAGTCAATGGTTATGCTCAGTGGGACCACAGGGAAAGCATACAAAAACTTTAGAACATGAAAGTGGGGTCCTAGCGCAACCTTTTGAGCATGCTTCTCTCTGAAACAAGAGCTTCCCTTTTAAAAAGTAGTTTTGCTGGACTGACAATGCACATCTTCAATCCCAGAACTCAGGAGACTAAGGCACAGACCTTTCACAGACTTTTGTCTTCAGAAGATGGACACATGTCCACTAACATGTGAAAAGATGCTCAACATTGCTAATGGTTGGTTTTCATCAATGTGACACAAGCTAGTGTCTGCTAAGAGGAAAACTCGGTTGAGAAAAATGCCCTCAGCCTGGGAGTAAGAAGTAAAGAAAGGCAAATAGAATACAGAAAGGTAAAAACCCAGAGGCAAAAGGTAGACAGGATCATTTTTAAGTTAAGAAAAGCTGGCTAGAAATAAAATCCAGTCTTGAATAATGCCCCAGTCCCAGAGGCAAAAGGTAGACAGGATCATTTTTAAGTTAAGAAAAGCTGGCTGGAAATAAAATCCAATCTTGAATAATACCCCAGTTAGGGAGTAAGTAGGAAAGAAAAGCAGATAGAATAGAAAAAGGTAAAAAGCCCAGAGGCAAAAGGTAGATGGTTTTCTAAATTGGCTTGCAGGGCATTTTCTTGATTGATAATTCATATGGGAGGTCCCAGCCAACTATGAGCTGTCTCACTCTTGGGCAAATGGTCCACAGGGCAGGTATAAGAAAGCAAACCAAGCAAGCTAGGAGAAACAAGCAAGTAAGCAGCACTCCTCCACGGCCTCAGCTTCAGTTCTTGCCTCCAGGTTCCTTCCCTGAGTTCTCGCCTTACGATTACTATTACATTACTATGACTGTTACCAAAGCAATGGATGATTACAGGTGTTGGCAAGATGAGAAAGTGGAGTCCTTATGCCACTTTGGAGGATTTGAAGCAGTCCTGGAAAGAATGCCTTGACCAGTTCTTCATCAGGAAGTAAAATAGCTGTGTCAACTTGACACAGCCTAGAGTCACCTGAGAGAGAAGTCTCAATTGATGGATTGCCTGAATGAGATTGAACTGTGGGCATGATCGTGGGGGTTATCTTGATTATTAATTTGATATAGAAGCTCATGGTGGGCTGAGTCTGTTCCCTGGACAGGTGATCCCAAGTCTATAGATGAAGGCTAGCATAAGCATAAGCCAGCAAATGAACCAGCAAGCAGAATTCCTCCATAGCTTCTGCTTCAAGTTGTTGCTTGAGCTCCTGCCTTGATGTCCCTTCAACGCTGCATTGTGACCTGGAAGTGTAAAGCCAATAAATTCTTTCCTACCCTAAGTTGCGTTTTGTTCAGTGTTTCATTACAACAGAAGAGAAACAAGGAAAAATGCCTAGTCCAGATTACTTATGTATAAAGGAGGTTGGCCTAGCCCTAAGTTTGGGACACAGGGTGGGGGTGGGGAGCAAGGGAGCACTGATTGGCCTCTGGTAAGGGCAACTGATAGGCACATCTTGGCAGGGTATCATATAGAAGGAAGTGTTGTGGAATATTTCTTTATACACAGTGAGCATGTGTCATTCTGATTGGTTTAATAAAAAGCTAAATAGCCAATAGACAGGCAGGATTTTCAGGCATACAAAACACTGGGAAGAAGGCAAGGAGTCACCAGCCAGATGCAGAAGAAGCAACATGGACATAGATGAGGTAATGAGCCCCAGGGGAGCACATACACTAATAGGATCGGGTTAACTTAAGTTTCTCTTTTATGTTTCTGCACAGCTATTCATGATTTTACTCCTTAAAGGGGGCCCAAGAAATAGATTCTGGGCTGCTCTCTCTAACCCGACTTAGGGAGGCAGTCACAGGCCAGCTCTTTGGTGTACACTAATAAAAAACAAAGCTTGCTTCAAATTTGACTCAAATTGTGGCAGTAGTCTTATTCTCGACGGTGTGTTTAACAACTGTGTATGCAACCACACACTCTGTGGTCAGCAAGTAGCTAGGTACTGGCAAACAGAAACCTAGAGCTTGGAGCATTGCAGGTATATCCATCTACATCAGCCGGAGTATTTGGTCCCAAAAGGAGGAAATTCTTATATATGCTACCACATGGATAAACTCTGAGAATTTTAGTATTCAGTAAAAACAAGCCAATCACAAAATAGATAAACACTGTGATTTATCTTATATTAATACAGCAAAAATCACAGAGCCAGAAACTAGAGTAGTGAGAGATGGAGACTTGGAGCACAGCCCTGGGCTTGAGAGATCCTTAGCTTTTCTGTCTTACAAGGCTGGAAGAGTTATATTGTTCAGTGGAGGTGATGGCACTAGAACATCTGCCTGCATTAATATTACTGAAGTTTATACTCAAACTTGCTTAAGATCCATCAAAGGAAACTCTTGAAAAGTGTGATAAGGATGCTGAAGTGTAGCTCTCCACCACTGATGAGGCACCAAGAACACAAGGCTCAGTATGTGACTCTGTAGGGTCTCCTACCACCAACACAACTGTAAACAATGTCAGATGCAGGTGATCAGAGAGACTTGATGTGTGAAAGAGATGAATGTTTCCTTGATGAATGGGTTCCTTCTAAGTCCTGACCCGAAGAGGTACAATATTCTGGGGCCTCAGAGTTACAAAAAAAAAAAAAAATTCCATGTTTCAAAACTGGTCACTAAATCTGTCCAAACTTGTACACAGATTTTTTTTCAGTTCTTTACCTTCCAGGGGGAATAAATAAAGAGACTTTTAAGATGACAAGAACAGAGGCCTTTGGGAAGATTAAAAGCGAGCCTCAGTCCATAAACACTGGAATCTGTTCTGTGGTCACGGAGTAAAAAACTGAGTGTAAATGAATCATTCTAAGAGCAATAAACAAATAGCAGAGAAAGGAAAACTTGTCCTCTTGAGTCATTTAATGGTATGAACTCACACCCTAAATAGGTATCTGCAGTGAGTGTCAGTGAGCAATTCTAAGAGCAATAAACAAATAGCAGAGAAAGGAAAACTTGTCCTCTTGTGTCATTTAATGGTATGAACTCACACCCCAAATAGGTATCTGCAGTGAGTGTCAGTGAGCTTTATACAATCCCAACTGAAGAGACTATCTGAGGACATTCACAGCATGTGACAGCACACAGGCTGCACGTGTGAGGGAGCCACAGAGTGTCCACAGGGCTGGCAGCAACCCCACAGAGTGTTTGTCCTTGGAACCCCTTCTTCCCAGGCATGAGCTGTCCAACCCACCCACCAGCTCTCCATTCACGAATAACCCACCAGTCTTGTTCAGTTGTGGCTAAACAAGCCGTGGTTCCTGAGGTCTTTCTTCATCTCAGCCAGCACTGTACCTCCTTCCTACAAGCCAGTCCATATCTCATTCTTCTTATAACCTGTCCCACTTCTCTTAAGATGGGACAAGATGGGAACAGCAGTGACCTTGGCCCCTAACAAGATGCAAGATGGAAAGCTAATAGTGTTAGAACCCACATGCCCTGGCAACCAAGGAGTTGTCAGCCTTACAAACTACATGAGCCCAGCTTTATAAAGCTGGGCATCAGTCCAGTTTACCTCTGGAGTTCTCAATAAAAATGGCCCATCAAGAACAAAGGCTCTCTAGAAGCTCCCCTTGGGATGTGAAAGACCTTGATCTTCAGTGCTCTGTAGGAGACTGCCTTTCTCTGGCTGATAGAAAACAGCAAGGTAGGAACAGAAGATAGAGGAAACATAGTCAGATAACCTCATAGACGATGAGAAAAACATGAGCCACTGTTAACCGTGGGTCAAACATCACAGTGAAACTCCTTTGCTCTCACACCAATTTCTACTAGCATACTTCAGAAAACTGGGAATGACAAAACATGGGGATTATTTATGACCTCAGCTTGAATCTTCTCTCTTCTTGCTGGTCAAAGAGGAGCAAAAAGCTCCACTGGATACTGTGAGGACCAGTGTACTCTTGCCAATAACTTTACAGCCCAAACTGCAAACAGATCTGCCAATTATGGACATGTATCATGTGCTTTAATTTGCAAAGGTAGTATTAAGAGATGACAATGGTCATGGTGTTCATAGTGAAAGCTATGAAATTTTTGTCCACAAAACAGTGAGTATGGAAGATTCTAGAAGAACAGTGAATGAAGACAGAAAGGTAGTGACTGAAAATAATTCCTGAATGCCAAGACTCAAAAGCAGCAACAGCAGTTGGACAGTGACAGATAGTGACAGTTACCCAGGGTTTCCTTTATACAAGTTCTTGGTGAAATGTTAATATTGATCATGTCCCTTCATTATGACCCCATAAGTAAGGAATATTATTACACTGTTTCTGTAGACTAGGGGACTAGGGAGAAAATGAAGCAATTTGTCCAGTGGGGGCAGGACTTAAGTTTGGACAATAAGATTCAGAATCCTTGCTGTCATCAGCTTTTTCCATCTGTCCTCACATGGATGATCCCTTCAGACAGAAGGTCAACCTGACAGAAGGCACCTGGCAGTCTCCCAGAGGCTCCTTTGGAGTGCCTTGTCTGGCTTACGTATACAACTCTCCAAAGAGTTGAGGAATCTCCATTTGAAACTTTCTGGATCCCAAAGTCATTCAGAAAAATAGTGAAAGGGATCTCCTAACTATTTTTCATGTTCCAAAAAGCCTTTAAAATGTGTTTACTGACAGTATCTTTCCTGTGGCATGTCTACATATAATTTAACAAATAATGAATTTCATTTATATGTTGAGGCTTGGGAAAGTTGGGCAAGGGAATAATTCAAAGCATTGGATGTATGATAGAAAATGTGTATCTATCATTGATCACAGTGGAGACTACCGATCTAATCCAAACCACCCATTTTCCAATGAGAAGGTAGCAGAAGCTTCAGGGGCCACCAGTAAACAGAAGTAGCACTTGGGTCTGTGTCTCCCACCTTGCAGAAGAATGTCCCTGTACTCGGCATGCCACTCCATGATCTGGCTTCTATGAGTCATACCATAGGTACTGTAATGGTGGAGAGGCTATATGAGTTTGCACTACAGTGGCCAGTTGTTTATAGGTATTTTTTGATTGTGACTAGAATCTAAGTCAGTGATGACTGAGTGAAGCAAACAATATTCATAAGGAAGGTAGATCTGGTACCATTCCCTGCAAGACTATCTATTCCTCAAGCTATCTGCCTACTTAGTTAGGATATTATTTATAACAGTACCAATAAGGCTAAAAACAATAAATTTCTCAAGTGCATATCTATCCATAGCTTATACTTGCTTAAGCCCTTGTTACATAATATTTCAGTAATTTTTCTAAGGCCAGAAATATGAGGAATATTTTATAGCTCCAAAATTTTCATGGGTTCCATTGACAAAATCTAAAATCAGATTCATAGGAACTTCACTGAGAGTTATATTGTCTTTGTAAAATGTGAATGTATACAATTTGGGTAGTAAATTAAATAAGACTTGATATCCAGGAATAATAAAGTTCTATTTTAACTGCAATGAAGTCGTGTGTGTGTGTGTGTATGTGTGTGTGTGTGTGTGTGTGTGTGTGTGTGTGTGTGTGTGTGTGACATTCTGCTATTAACCACAGAGTATGCCTCACAATTACATGTTTAAGTGATTAAAATTTGCTTATTATATCCATATGAAATTAACTTGTTTTAGTAAAGCAGATAGATGAGATTTTCACATCCTATCTTGCACTTACCAAGCAATTCCAATGTGCAATTTGTCCTGTCATTTGGATCTTGGATATGTGAAGCTTGGAAATATTGTCACCGTCACTGTCAAAGACTGAAGCAATTTATCTAAACGGCACTGAAGTATGCCCCTGAAGACAAAGGCACTTAATAAAAATGACACCACACTGAAACCCACATTCCTTCATCAGGTCCCATCTGGAGAGTTGACCTCAGGATGGTCAGACCCAGAGCTGATCCACCCAGTGGCACCAGAACAATTTATTTCATGACAAGGCTGCTATTTTACCCTCTGCTTTCTCATCAGTGGGGTATACTGAGAGTGGGACAGAAGTTCAGAAGCTTACTATAAGCCCTCAAATAGTCACATTTTCTTAATGATAAATCAATGTCTGGCGCACTGCTTGAGAGTCACCCTGAGAAATGGTTTCAGGGCACAGGTACTGCGGTAGGGGAAAATGTCCCCAGTCTCACTCCTCGGAACATTTTCCAGTTCATTTTCCTTGGCACACAGCTCATCAGAAATTGACCACATAAGGCAGTCAATTTTTGAAAAGACTAATATTGGTGCACTATTGTGTAAGAAGTGATAAATATACAAAGCAACTGGCTATAAACAACATAGCTCTTAATTGTCCTATGGAGGTAGACATCAAAAAGGACAGGTACTGATAGAAAACTATCATGAATTGCCATGTATTCCAGAGCAGTAAAGACAAGTTCATATGAAAACCTTGACACAAATTTTCACTGAAGTTTTTTTGTTCTGTGTTAACTTGATTTTATATTCCCATTTTTCAAAGCAAGGTCTATTCCTGACAGGAGAACCCACTACTGTCATTTTCCTGAATCAATATAATTTCCAAATGTTCATCTTTATGTGCACAGATAAGTATAGCTCCAACTCCTTCTCAAAGAAGCTCCTTTTTGCAAAAGATAGAGACTATAAGAGAGACCCACATTTGGTCAAAATGCAGAGAATAGGGAACTGTGCCCAACCTCAACAGATATATCTAAAGTGCAACCCTTATACTTAAGACTCAGAAAATCATAGAAGATGGAGCAGAAATATTATAAAAGCCACACTTGGTTTGGTCTTCCATTTTTTAGCCACCTTCCTGATTTTAATCTGTCAAAGAGTTGCTTTTTTTATTTGGAGGGTATGATTCCATCATTTCTCCCCTCCATTTCCTCCCTTCAAATCCTCCAAAATACTACTCCTTGCTTGCTTTCTTGATGGCAAGAACAGGAGGAAACAGCCACTCTCATTTTTTGATGATTGCATTGCAAACTGGTGTGACACATTAGAATGGAACTAACTGTTAATGTGTAATCCCCTCCTTCTGCTTTAGCAATGCTGCATGCACCTAGGAAATTGCCATAGATGCTTCATCAATATAAAAATGTACCATCATGATGACTTTATCAATTACATCATCACTTATGATTATAAAACACATAAAAACTTTCATGCTCCTGCAAAACAAAGAAGTTTGGTAAATTACACTACATTCATCTAAGATGCTATTACAAAAATGTGTTACAGGCACTATATTATACTATAAAGAGGAATTTATTCATAGAGAATGACTTATGGGCTATATTGTATGTGAATCAAAGCAAACCAAAAAGCTACTGCTCTGTATAAGCAAGAAGAGGAAGCAAAGGCACATATTTTTATGAATTTTCTCAGTTAGGAAAAGGGAAACCCAGAAAGAACAGGGACTGGTTCCCAACACAGGGTGGCTGGTAATGGGATTTAAATCTCACAGTGATGATGAATTTTCTCAGTTAGGAAAAGGGAAACCCAGAAAGAACAGGGACTGGCTCCCAACACAGGGTGGCTGGTAATGGGATTTAAATCTCACAGTGATGTAAGAACAGTACACACACTTGGGGGAAATGACGGCTTTTACAACACCGTTCCACGAAGTCATGGCTTCTAGTGTTAGGAAAACTGAGGCAACGGGAATGGGGAGAAAGAGTTCAAAGTGGAATAAGAACAAAACTGGGGAGTCTCACTGGGTTGCAAAGTAAACATGCAACCAAAGTGAAGGGGACAAAACACACAAATGATGTTTCTCTCAGCTGTCCTGACATTCTGCCAGCAGGCTTGAGCAAGAAAAACTACAAAGCAATGTGGAATTATATTTTCTGTTTGCTTCTTAAAGTGGTGAAGATGTGTGATCCTGAACCTACTTATGCTTGCTAGCCCTGCAAGTTAAAACAGTAAATAAAGGTTTCTCCCTATTGGAAGCCAATATGGAAGGCAAAATCCTTGGGGGGGGTCTAAGTAATTAAAACAAATCCATGGCATTCGATGTATGTAGACAGATAGATACTGGTATCAATACACAGGTTGATTTTGTGCACATGGGTACATACACACATGTACACATGTTTCTTACCTGTGTCCAGTGCCCTGTGAACAGTGGTATGCCTTGTGTAAAAAGTCCTGCCTAGAGAGAACTGGTTCCAGGCCTAACAGTTAAAGCTCTGAGACCATTCCAGAACATTGCACTATGCCAGAAAGTAGGAAGCTAGAATG